TTCAGAAGCCCCCCCCCCCCCAAAAAAAAATAATCTCTCCTCCCTTGCCAGTTGCCACACATATCTTCTTTTGTTCAATATTCTGTAGAAATCCCTGACATGTGGGCTTGATTTGTCTTGCTCTCTCTTTCCTAATGAATTTCTACAGATAACCCAATTGACGAGTTCCCCTTTTATCCCTTTTTGAAGGAAAATACACCATTACCTGCATATACGTCAACTGATCATAGCTCAAAGCTAGCCTTTTAACATCAGGATGTGAACCATCCTGCAATGTGCAAACAGATGGATAATAAAGAATTGGTGTTGTAAAAATATGATCATATAATATAATCAAGGGAAATATAATCGGAAGCAAATCAGTGATTACCTGGGATATGAAAATTGGAAATTTCAAAGCAACAGAAGTTTGATATCTGATGTATACAAATAAATAACATGTATCAGTTCAAAAAGTACAAATTTCAATTAAAACTACTCGCGAAGATACAAGATGTACAACATACTTTAGAATAGACTGAATAGTCTTTTTGAGGTAGTCAGCACGACTACAAGCCATGACAACAACAGCTGCTACTGGAGCCTGGCTAATGTAGTCATAAAGATGAGTATGTATTACGTAACATAAAATTTTTGCAGCGGAAATGCTTGAAAACAAATGATAAATGAGACACGTCAAATTTATGTAACCTGGGTATTGCTTATCAACTTCTGCATGCCCTTACCTGGCACATGAAAAACACACTTTCAGAATAAAAAGGTTTATTCTATATAAGAGGCTATACAGTGTAGACAATGCAACATAGTCTTGAAACTTCTGCATTTTATAACGTATATTGTGACAGTTATAAATGCAATGAAGGATAGACGTAGTAAACAAATACTTAATCCATCCCTTAAGGAATATCACTTTAAGGTTAACAAAGCTTGACGAACATTACTTTCAATTCAATTTATTTAAATTGGTGTAGAAATAAACTTAATGTATTCTTAAAACTACATCAAAAGATCTACAAAACAACATTTGAAATGATGATATTATTTTGTCAAATGATCAATGAAAATAGGCAAAAAAAAGATGATAAAGTTTGACCAATAAATGGTTAGTGAACAATGATGTTCTTCTGTTGGGGACGGATGGAGTATTTGTTTTTCTTGTCAAGGAGGCGGTCTCTTGAAACAGCAAATGTATAAAATCACATACTCTCAAGGTCTTGAACTAGACTTCTTAGGTGTTGGCATTCTTGACTTTGACGCTTCATATCCTCTGTAAATAAAAGCATGGCGTAAGTGTGTCATAAAAATGGATAATTGGCTAATATACATGTTTCCTATAAGGAAAAAATGGCATGTTAGGTAATAATGAAATTTAGTAAAGAGGTGTTATCTGTAAAACTCTGTATATGTTTTCCGGGGACTGGGTCTAGAAACATAAAACAGCTCAGAATATGTTTATTGTGTAGAGAGTTTGTGTTCTTCTTGCCAAGTATGACAACTGATATGAGTGTTAATATAAATCACTGAGCTTTTTATTGGTATAATTTGAAAATCTAGAAAAAGATACAAAGAGGGCAAGAGTTAAATATCCAAATTCCAACAAGATAAAACAGATCTAATCAAATTACTCCCTCTGTTCGGAAATATTCTTCCCATTTGACTTTTCTTGGTCAAAGTTTGTAAACTTTGACTATGATATGTGGAAAAAATACATTGTACTAGGATATAACTTTAATATGAATATATGTTGGGTTATTCAGTGAAGGCTTTAGAGCTTTGGGCTTTAAGCCCGGTTGGTTAAAGGGAAGAAATATGGGGGGGCGGTTTTAGTTATTAATTAAAGGGCCCATTAGTTGTTTCTTGTTTAGCAAGTTGTTAACCCTAATTTATATCTTATAAATACCCAATCATGTAACTATAGTCTGTGAGCACCTAATAAAAGATAAACCCTAGTTGCAAGCCGTGGAGTAGGTTACTGACCGAACCACGTTAAATCTCGTGTTCTTATTTTCTGCTATTTGTGTGTGTGTTTGTTCGCTTCCGCTTGACCGCCTCTGATCTCTGATTCCTAACAAGTGGTATCGGAGCCTTGGTTCGGTTAAACACACGGTTACACAGGATCAATCGCAGGAAGAAGGCTGTTGAAGATCGTTTTTGCTGCTGTTTTGCTGCCGCGGTTAAGGGGATGGTTCGGATCTGATCAGGGGCTGGTCCGGATCTGATCAGAGGCTGGTTTGGATCTGGTCAGGGGCTGTTCAGTCGGTTTTGGGTGAACTTGGTGATTAGGGTTTCTGGTTTTGGACCTGGTACTCGTTGGTTCGGGTTCTTTGTTTTAGGGTTTGTTTTCTTTTGAAGGTTGCTTGGTTTCAGGCCGTTATTCCTTGATTTTTTCTCTGGTTTTTTTTCTCTCGTTTTGCAATGGCCGAGGACGGGAGGGTTCGAATCGAGAAGTTCAACGGTACTGATTTTGCATGGTGGAAAATGCAAATAGAGGCGTTGCTTGGTGAGTGCGATTTGGACATGGTACTGGAAGAGAAACCGGATGGAATGGATAAGGCTGCTGAAGCAATTTGGGACTCAAAGGACAAAAAGGCAAGAGGTAAAATTACACTAGCTTTGACGAGGAGTGTGG